TATAACACATAAATTAATGGTATAGCCTGTCACCTTTAGACTAGACGGGGGGAGGTGATAACTGTGCATACTTGTCAAGTATACTCTAGCAACATGGTATCAATTCATCGATGGTATGAGCCGAGTTATGCTGAATGATTGTATACCTAGGCCATTCAAAAACTATTCATGTAAACAGTCAACAGCCTGCAGCGAGCACACGGGCTTGCTCTGTGTCAAGTGTATCTGGTTCCTTGTCGGTTGTCACTCCACTCCAGAGTTGACTGCCAGTTGTGGAGCCATTCTGTCAGTAGATTTGACACAGGCACACAGGTAGATAGATAGCTTCAAGGAACGGGTGCTACAGGCTACAGGCACAACAGTACTACATGGTGTGTGCTTTGTGAGAGAGAGAAGCGATGTGTATGTATGAGAGAGAGAAACAACTTACTGGAGATATCTGTCCGTCCGGCCGGCCGGGGTAAAATCTCTTCCAGCAAACGAGACAAGATCAGCTAAACCAGAACCTGATCGTCGTCTTCCCCTTCGTGGAAGTAGTCCCGTCACAGAGGACCGTCTCACTCCACACCGGCGACCACAACCTCCGCTGTCACCTACACAAATAGTTCGTGGCTCCTTTTCTAACAGCCAGCCTTTTCATGGCGATGTCTGTTTAAAGTGTCTGTATTTACATGACAATATTCATGCTATATTTTACATCAGCTAGATGCAGTTAACTGGTTTGTCAGATAGTCTCTAGTGTGTGAGTTAATGACAACACCTGAAGAGAGCGTCCAGGTAGGCACAAGGGCGTGTCCCCCCATGACGTCATGCTGCGTACACTAGCAGTCTGTAGTTATTTAAAGACCTCCTTGCGTCCTTCCTGACTCAGGACCTGGAACTGCTACACACTGTCGAGAGTGTCGACACTACCGTCCTCCAAACAGGCTGGGTCTCACATCTAGCGTCGCTGTCGGCTGTCGAAGGAAACAGGGCGCGGCTAGTGCCTGTGCCCTGTATGTGACTGACTGCTAATCGTTCGTTGACACAGGCTTTCTATATTTACCCCTAGGCTAATCGTCTCTCCTAAATCTGTATGCTTAAGTTAGCTGTCGCTTGACGAGGTTCTGCCTCTGTTCCGTTACCCCTCAAATAACTCATTCTTGTTAAATGACCCCTCTTTGTCAACTCATGACACAGAGAACGAACAAACAACGGAACTTAGAGAGACAGAGTAAAATGGAGAGCGATGTAAAAGAGGGAGACGGACACAATAATCAATAGTTCCGATTACCAACTCTGCTTCCGAACAAGGACTGGAGCTAAGCGCTGTCACTGATGGGGTTTTAACCCCAGATTTGGGTTGACGCATTGGGTTCTAATTTTGAAATCTGTGATTTTGTAATATATCTTTAAGAACCAGTGGGTAAATGTTTCGTTTCTTAACTATAAAATGTGTACTTTTTAACAGTTTTGTGTATGCATTGCTTGGGTTTTTGTTCACCTTAGCTGGGTTTTTGAAACACAAAAATCTCATTGGCAGCCCTGGTGACTGCCGCTCAGTTTTATTTAGTTCAACACACTTTGGTTGAAGAACAATTCTCCTTTGACGAGGGCGGGCTGGACGACTTGTTCAGTTTAATCCCTTGGACCGTGGACGCAGTCTGGACATGCTTATTAATTCTTTATACCGTCAGTCTAAACTAGCCAGACATTGTTAAGCGTCACCATTGACAGTGTCTGTATATATCTAGGGGAGCATCTTTACACTGTTCTTGTGCCTCCCCCAGCCAGTCGTCTATACTCTGCACATTTCTAGGGCGGCATCTATTGACTGTTCTTGTGCATCCCCCAGGGGAGCACATCTTTACACTGTTCTTGTGCCTCCCCCAGCTAGTCGTCTATGCTCTGCACCTATCTAGGGCGGCATCTGTTGACTGTTCTTGTGCATCCCCCAGTCAAACATCTGAACTCTGCACTTATCTAGGGCGGCATCTGTTGACTGTTCTTGTGCATCCCCCAGTCAAACATCTGAACTCTGCACTTATCTAGGGCGGCATCTGTTGACTGTTCTTGTGCATCCCCCAGTCAAACACCTGTACTCTGCACTTATCTAGGGCGGCATCTGTTGACTGTTCTTGTTATCTGGTAATCTTAGTTTCAGCTTCATAGCAAATGGGTCACTTCATAGTTGTTCCGCTCCTGTGACAACGAAAAACACACAGAATGTGTATCACAGTCCCTTGTGGAAAGATTGACAGACTGCTGTCTCAACATATGCACTAGCATACACACGCAAGCTTGCCCGTGCAGCTCT